GGAAGGGAGGGAGGGAGGGAGGAAGGGAGGGAGGGAAGGAGGGAGGAAGGGAGGGCCTTCGTACTAGGGCTCTCTTGTGGCTAAACTATGTCTTGCTCTGTTTAATCACTATGTATTTCCTGTTCTGAAAATGGGCTAGGAACAACTTCTTGGCTTCTCTTTCTTCCTGTCTCAGCAACTTGGAAGCTTATTTTAGTATCCAGTTCCACAAATGTCTGAGTAAAGGTTAGCTGTCACATGATAAGTAATTGTCCAGACCCTCCGCTAAGCTGAAGGTTTTTAAGTCGTGTTTGACTCTCTCTTGCTTTCAATATTGGCTGAGGGTGATCTCCCTCCAGGGCCTCACAAGAGCCGGATGGGGGTTGCCGAAAGGCAGCAGAAGCTGAGGTCTCAGTATTTCTTTGACTGCACCTGTCCAGCTTGTCAGACTGAGGCACACAGGATGGCTGCAGGCCCCAGGTGGAAAGCATTCTGTTGCAACAGTTGCAGAGCTCCCATGCAGGTAATTCTCTCCTCTTCCCTCTACTTTTCCCGGAGGTCAGTTTTCCAGCCCGAGGGTGATCAGTGTTTGGGAGGAAGCCACCTCCATTGTAGCCAGTCAGCCGCATACACTGCTTCCCCTCCACAGAAACTACAGGGAAAGGTTCCGTTTAATGTTTCTCTTATAAAGGACAGAAAATCCCTTCTGAGCTGGTGTGGGATTTGGGGGAGACTGGGAATCTATTTGCTCAAGTAAGTCATTGAAAAGTCCCAGGATAGGCCAGGCACAGTGACACTTGCCTATTATCCCAGCACTTTGGGAGGCTGAGGTGGGGAGATCACTTGGAGGCCAGGAGTTCGAGACCAGCCTGGGCAACATAGCAAGACCCTGTCTCTACCAAAAAAAAATTTCAAGAAAAAAATTCCAGCATGAGTCTACTTAAGGTACAGCTTGATCCAGGGGGTTTCTGTCCAGCCCTCTCAGCTTCATTTTCTCTGTGGTGGCCCATCCTACACAGACTTCCCTGTTATGGTGCAGGAGAGCTGCCAGGCTGCGGACCTCCTGCCAAGGAGGATAAGAGCACACGCCGCTCTAACAGCAGCCTGGGCAAAGACGCTACTGAGTTTCATTGACCCGAGAACTGTGGCGACATAGTTTTCCTCCAGCCATATGGGCCAGAGAAAGGGGCTATATGTGAGCCACATGCCACACCCTCAGCTGTAGGGCACCAGCCGTGGGACTGAGGGTGAGAGGGATCCTCATGAGAAACTGGGTTGCTGTTGCCAAATGAGAAAATAGATAGTGGCTCAAGCCTGTAATCCCAGCACTTAGGAGAGGCCGAGACGGGCGGATCACGAGGTCAGGAGATCGAGACTATCCTGGCGAACACGGTGAAACCCCGTCTCTACTAAAAAATACAAAAAAACTAGCCGGGCGAGGTGGCAGGCGCCTGTAGTCCCAGCTACTCGGGAGGCTGAGGCAGGAGAATGGCGTGAACCCGGAGGCGGAGCTTGCAGTGAGCTGAGATAGGGCCACTGCACTCCAGCCTGGGCGACAGAGCCAGACTCCATCTCAAAAAAAAAAAAAAAAGAAAGAAAATAGATATTGGCCTTTTAAACACAGCACATATCCACCTCAGAGGATTTCCCCTCTGCCAGAGGTGCCGTATTCTTCTTAGGAGAGTCGTGAGTGAAACGCAGAGCTGGTTGTGTAGAAAGCTAAACTTACAGACCCGAGGTCAAATGTAGGGCGATCACACCTAGCACCTTTTTCTATTGGTTTTCTTTTTTTTTTTTTTTTTTCCTGTGATGGGGTCTCGCCCTATCACCCAGGCTGGAGTGCAGTGACACGATCTCCGCTTACCACAGCCTCAACCTCCCAGATTCAAGCAATTCTCCTGCCTCAGCTTCCTCAGTAGCTGGGATTACAGGCATATGCCACCACGCCACCCACGCCCAGCTAAGTTCTTGTACTTTTTCACGTAGAGATGGGTTGGCCCATGTTCTCCATCGTTGACTAAGGACTGGTCTCAATCTCCTGGCCTCAAGAGACCCACCCGCCTTTGCTCCCAAGAGCATTGGGATTAACAGGCCGTGAGCCAACCGCGCCCGCCTTTCTATTGGTTTTCTTTTTTCTTTTTTTTTTTTTTTGGTGAGACAGTGTGCTCTGTCGCCCAGGCTGGACGTGCAGTGCGCGATCCTCGCTCACTGCAGAGCTCCGCCTCCAGATTCATCGCCATTTTCCCGACTCTCAGCCTCCTGATAGCTGGATTACAGGCACCCTGTGACCCCACGCCAGATACATTTTTGTATTTTATAGAGAACGCGGATTCAGCTGTGTTAGCCAGGATGGCTCGATCTTCCCTGACCTCATGGATCCACCCACCTCGGCCATCCCAAGTGCTGATTACAGGCGTGAGCCACCCGCGCCCGGCGCTTTCTATGTTTTTCTTAGGATTTTTCATAACCCTAGAGAACTGTTCGTCATCGTAACAAGACCCCTCCTGGGCCACCCAAAAACGCGAAGAGAGGGGCTATAGACATGCACAAGAAAGGTGCACTCATCCCCCCTCTCTCGTTCCAAGAATGAAACACTCAGGTGGATCCGACCCCGCACTCCTGCCTTCGAGACTCGCCGCCATCGAAACCAGTCGGCTCTGGCGTGATGTGCTATTCAGCGTCCACTTCCCTCCAATGAGGTGAGAAACTGTTGAGCAATCTATAATGTAAGCACAGGCCAACGTTGAAACCGGACCCTGTCGTTGGATATAAAGAGAAACTTGACTTCCATCAGGGAGAGTGGCGTGCTGCGCTGTGGCAACAGATCTTGTGCCAGAATCCGTCGTCGCACGACACCACCTAGTCTCTCGCGTTACAGGCACCTCTTCAGCAGCACAGGTCAGAGTGGCCCAGAAGCCTTCTCACGAGATCGGGGAGACTAGGGTTAGACTGGCTTCCCCCGTGCTTTGGTCCTCCGCAGCCCTTCCCCTTTTATCATTTCTGATACCATTTTGGACTCAAGGACACTCAGTACTGTGTGGAAGAACGATATGTCATTATTCCCCATGCGCAGCCACAACCGATGGCTTATATAGGCCAGCTGAGACCAAACCCTTGGCAGAGGGCCAGCCCCTGTACTGTGGGGCGCTTGAAAAGCGGCCAGGGTGATTTCGTCGCATTTGTTGTTCTTCTCTTCAACATCCGATTTCGCAAGTTGGAAG